GACTGTTATAAACTAGCTGGATATTTGTATATATTGAAGAAGAGTATGTACATTAGTATAAAAACTTTTAGAATCTGGAAACAAACGTGCAAAGTAAAATTCTTGGTGCAATGAAATGAAATCCATATGCAAACATGCAATACAAGCAGAAAGAATAATGGCAAGTAGACTTCATGTCTCCAAATCTCTTAACTTTGGTATAATTTTCTGTAAATAATTGCTACTTATACAATTAAGACTGAAGCTGCATAAAAGACTTTTAACTTTTTTTATATTTGTTTATAAATATGACAAGTCACAGAAAGAGGTCGGTTGGATGAGGTTAATTTTGCAGATCATTAGCAGGCAGATTCATATTCTCCTACAACCTGGACATCTGACAGTTGGGGAATTTCACAGAAATAAAGCATATATTGCTTGTGCAATAGTGTAAAATAGCTAATTTTTAGATTTATGAACTCTAATATACAAAAATCTTCAGCTGACATGAAGTTGTATTGTTTTATGTGAGATGAAACAGACAGTGTGTCTCAAAGGGTATTTGGATATAACTTTTGGAATAATGTATATACTTTTATGAATAACATGGCTCTCAAAATGTATATCTTTGGTCAGTGTTTGGTAGCTGAGATAGTTTGAGTGATGAGTATTTCATTCAATTTAGGAAATATTTTCTATAACCATTATTAATATATGTACTTCTTTGCTGGATTTACTTTTGTTTCTATTTAAAACTGTAAAGGCTATTGACTTATAATGTGAGTCTTTTCCACCGTGTACACATTGCAATCTCTCAGACACACATTTGAGGTAGGAATAATATTTTTAATAAGTAAATTCATAAAACCACATAATGGAATTCTTATTACAGGCAAAAATTTGAGAAACAGTACATGGGCTATAAGCCAGGTCACTACTTGAATATTTTTTCTGCTAAGAAAGTTGGCTTTAGCATGTGTGATTTCCCAAGCCTCAGTGACAAAATGACAGACATTTGTAGCTCTTAATTATTCATAAACCACTTTAATTATACTTAGAAAGTGCATTTATTAGAAAATAATTAAAGATTAACATTACTACAGTTTATGAACAAATTGTTCAAATAAAAGGAGTTTTTGAAATTATATTTCAAACTGGATAACCACATATATTTATGTAATTGTGTATTACATTTTAAGGATTTTTTAACGATTATTTTTTCAGTGCCATGTAAGGGAAATTACAGTTCTCTTCCGTACATCATAATTAATCAGATCTAACATAATAAAATTTCAAAAGTGGTCGAAAAGAAGAAAAAGATGTGACGATTATATAAGGATGCACTAAACACTGATACAGATTGTTCATTATAGTCTCTTTATTATGGATGATTCATATACCTGCCTTCTAAAACAAATTAGAAGAAAGAGAAGTAAAATCATTGCTACATATTGTGTCTATTGAAATAACATATGCTTGTTTCATATCTATGCACTTGCACTAGCCTAGTGGTAGAAGAAAATGTGCAAAGAGAAAATGTGCAAAGCTACTCCAAATGAAACTACATTGTTGCATACAATTATAGTTTAAATACAATGATTACCCTGTTTGATATTAATATATTCCTTAAGATTTTCTTTGCTGGTAAATATTTAATAATGCCAAGCTTCTTTGTAAACGTGAAGTTTGCAATGTAGATGACCACCAATAAAACTATCTATCTGTAAGGGTTCAAGGTGTGTTGATAAGATCATATTCAGATTGTCAACATAATCAAGATTGTGATTTAGGAAAGGAATTCTTGCAGGATTAGGTAGCATTCAATAAGGCTGTAAGTGTGTTGCATACAGGGAGGGGGACAGAGGTGCTTCACTGCTCCTTCACAGAGGTCCTTTGGCTTCACTGGGGCTCAGATCAGAAATGGATGGGAAGTTGGAAAGGGATGGGCATTTTCAGATGCCACAGAGTAAGACTCACATTTTAGGATTTAATCTATCCAGGGCTGATGACTGCTACAGGATGAGTACACTACCTAAACCACCCTGACTGAGCTCTTAACAATGCAGTTGTGCTATGCTAACCTTTCATACAGAAGAAAATTTAATGACTTGGAATATAAAAAAGCATACCATAGCTCATCCACTTTCACAGAAGCAAGCAATCTCAGATGTTTCAAACTGCATCTCCTTAGAATGGACAGAAATCATTATTATTTTCACCAGTCATCTTTATGTTGACCATAAAGACTCAGATCTTGTGAGGGGCTGACTTACATTGTCATGCTCATTGTCATTGAGCAGCCGGCAAGGCTGCTGATTGTCTTGCATTAATCACTTTGACTTTTTTGAAGCAATAGACTGGAATTAAAAGTAACCATTACTGCAGAGTTAAGCATCATTCATTATTCTTCTAATTTTGCAATCCTTACCTAAAACATACTTCAGAGGGCAGTAGATATCATCCAAAGTTTTCATCCATAATAATTTAAACAAAATTATCAACTCTCCCCACAAAGAAGAACAAGAGATAAATTTCTTAAAATTATTGCTATATTTAGCAGCTCATAACATCACCAACATGCACATTTCTGTGATTTAGATTTAATACAAATATTTCAAAATACAGATCTGAAAAATGCTCTCCATTTTTATTACAGGTCTATTCAATAAAATATATACCTTTGGTATAATATGTTCTGTTGTATATAGGAAACCATTTTCATTGTCATCAAAAATATATTTTAGCACTTGCGAATTACAGGGGACCCTAATTCCTCAGATAACCCACATATTGGATACAGTATCTTGAACCAGCTCATAAATATGTAGACATGGTACAGATGTACATTTTCTGTAGGAAATGGAAAGTGAAAGGTCTTTGAGAATTCTAAACTTAGTAATAATTAAGCTACTTTAACTGTTTTTATGCTACTTTCATAGATATATAATAAGACATTATTTTCATTGAAAATATGCTTTAATAAGGCAATTTTTGTAAGAATTTAAATAGTATTTTTCTTGCATTAAAAACTCATTTACTTGTAAGGTGGTCATGCCTCCCTTGCTATTCTAAAATCACTACAGGCAAAGCAATAAAATTACAGAGCTAAGCATCCTCCAAGGATGAAATCACAGTGAAGAAAGCTGTGATATACTTTATGCTGTAAATCATGTTGTATCATATCATATGATGATACCAGAATAGAAGAGAGCTGGTTATTTACACAGTGGTTCTGACTGGAAGATGTAAACAAAGATGAGTCAAGCACCTCAGCAATGCATTGACTTGCCAGTTCATATCCAAGGTTTTACAATGTTGTTTATTTAGTTCTATTGATAACTTGACATGAGGCACCTGTTTTTAAGGTAAGAAACTGGTCAGATGATGAAGTGTCAGTGGGGCTTTCAAGCAAATATGAATTGATTCCCTTTAGTTCATTGGTAAACCAAGGGTATACTAGTCTATGATCCAAGAAAGATGGAATGCTGTTAGGTTTAAATGCAGCTTAAGGAGCTCTATGACAGAATGACAGTTGTTTTCTGAACAAAAATCTCCAGTTAAGTAAATAATATTTTAAAATAACAGTGTAAGTAAAATGTTAACATAGATTAACAAAAGTCTGATAGCTATTCAGAAGCTCTTTGTCCCACTGACATTGTTGGAATTGGCTTGGAAAAGCCCATTGTTGCAGGAGACAGCCTGTCTTGCTATTTTTCCTCACTTCACACTGTACTTCCCCTTACTGAAGAGGTCCCTGCTGTCTGTGGAAAGTCCTGAGAATTACATGTTCCTCTTTCTACCACTGTTATAAGTAGTATCTTATCTTTTCTGTTATTTAAAGGTGTCTAATTTCTAGGCTATTACACTATGTTCATAATTGTGGTAAACACCTAATTATTAATTTGAAAATTTTATCTGTGACAGATTAAAAATAACTGCTAGCCTCAAGTTATTCTCAGGGGATCAGTTTCAGAAAGATGTTAAATACTCATTCTGTATACATGTCTTATTTTCCAGTGCTTCATGGGCTTAAGATTCCACTAACCAGACAAAACTGGCATACTCAACTATCACTCCTGTTAAACGCATTAATCTTTTTCTCACAGAGATTTAGAACTTCTGCCTTGTATACAAGTGAGATAAAACAGTTCTTCCTCACTTATGTTTCTAGAAGGTGTTTCCCCAGAAACTCCTCTGGGACTCTTCCTGATTTCATGAGTTACCATCTCTTCAGAAATAATGGCAATTTAAATTTCTCTTCCCAACCCTCCTACACCTCTTTTTCATGCTGAAATGGCTTGCGCTGATGAATCATGGCTCTTTTCCTTCCTTGCTGTTTATCCTCCTGCCCTTGGAGCTTTGAAGATAATCATTCAGGCTTGTTTCTCCTGCTAAAAGCTATTTTAAAATTGAAAAGTCAATTGAGAATGCCATCTCTAGGAGGGCTGGTGAGGTTTAATATCCAAAAAATTATATTCGTGTCCATGTTACTAGCAAAGAAATATAGATAGAGGTACTTTTTAAAAAGCCTAATGAATTTTCAGTTACCTTGATTTTTGACTTCACATCTTGTAATATATTTCATAAAGGTCTGATTTCTTTTTTTTTTTTTAAGAAGTTTTCAGAGATTTTAGAATCAGGACTGTAACATGGACAGAAAGAGCATGTGGAAAGTGACAGGAATAGTTTTATGATTTGTTTTACTGAACCAGGCAATATGGATACTTCTGATTCAATCTCTTTCTAGGTGCTTATCTCCATCTAAGAAAAAAAAGTAGTCATTCATACCTTTTTATTCCTTCAAGGATATCACTATGTCATTATACAATGGATATACCATTGTATCATAGGATCTATATGTCAAGGCTCTTTAACAAGCTTCCAAACATCATGCGAGGGATTTGAACAAAGTGCTTTCTGTGTAGAAGGTATATTTCACTATGACATTTAACAGGAGGTCTAATAAAACGGACACTTTTTTTTTTGGATGCTGTTGAGTGATAATAGTAAGATTCCCATTTTCAGACAGAGTCCACTTTCACTTGATTGTTGTTTGTAATCAGTGGAGAAGGTTTGCTTCTCATTCTGTCTCCTGCATCATTAGAACTATCCTGGAAAAAAACTTTTGCTGTACAAAAACTGACAATAATTCTCTTGTATTCTCTTCTGAAGTTCTGGTTCAGGAGTCCATATACTATAGCATTAAGGCAGCTGTTGAAATATGCCATGTAATAACTAGACACAAACAACCACTCTGGAATCCTAGGGATTACAGTTTTTGGGTTGACAGCCACTGCAATGCCTATAAAGTTCAAGGGAGCCCAGCAGACTGCAAACAGTACAAATACCACAAACATGGTTACAAAGTTTCTGAAGTCATGTGGTTTCAGCCTCGGGTTGTTATCCGGTTTAACCCTTCGCCTTACCTGGATAACGAGGATCCATATTCGCAAGTAACAGAAAGTAACCACGGCTATGGGGAGCAGGAAATGGAAAAACACAACTGCTATCGTATATGCTGAGCTCACAGACTGTGCAAATGTACAGGAGTAAATCCTGGGGTCGTACTGCAGCGATCCCACAAACAGGTTGGGCACGATAGCGACAAATGTTAGGACCCAAATGAGGACAATATAGCACAGTGAATTCCTGTCGCTGTACAGCTTGTCATATTTGAGGCTGTGGCAGATATAGCAGTACCGATTGATAGCGATGCCTGTAATATTGAAGATTGATCCAATGACACTTAGGCCCATCAAGAAGCCACTAATCTGGCAGTGTAGGTATCCCAGTTTCCATCCGTTGTGAAACACAGATGTGAGGACCAGTGGATAAGGGTAGATAGCTACTATCAAGTCTGCAACTGCCAGGCTTACAACAAACACATTTCCTGTAAAATAAATATAAAAAGGCAAGTATTAGTTTTTCTTTTGCTCCCTTCTGTCATTTCTGCTCTCGTTACATTAATGAGCAGCCTCAGTGGAACACTTTAAATGTAATTAGTTTCTACTTTCTGGCTCAAAATTCATTGTCATATATCAGAAATAAGAGACTCATTTTTAGTTTAAAAATGTAGCTTAACTTAAAGATGAACAATTTGAAAGTAAACTGCTTTAAGGTTATCTACCATGACCTATTATTTTTATCATGCCATTTGTTTGGATTCTTTCAATCACACAGACTTAGAATTCATATCAAATTGAAATATTCATAACTTTAAGGCTTGCTTTGGTTTTAAATAGTCTCTCTTGAAAAATCAGCAAAAATAATATTTCTAATAAATTTCCAAACTCAAATTTACTTTCTTTATTTAACTTCCTTTCATTACGTTAACTAGCCCTTAACTTGTCCAGTCTTGAAATTAAAATCTCTTTTCTCCCATTTATATATCAAGCTTCCATGACTTTAGTATGACTTTTACATTATTCTCTTTGAATCTGCTGGCAAGTACTTAAATAACCCTAACTTCTAAGAGTCTTGTTGAACACAGACTCAGTTGTCTTTCCTAAAGACATGCTCTTCAGTAAAAAAAGAGATGTTGTGGAGTGGCCTAGACAGTTCCCAGACAGTGCTGATGCCCCATTTTTCTCTACTTCCAAGCTGGAAAATTAAGAAATGGAACATTCTGCTGAATAACTTTTAAACAAAGGGAGATGATATTCTTCAAAGACAATAGAATCCATCAGATTTTGAATTCATGTTTTGAGAAGAGACTATATTTTCTTTTTTTAGTTGCTTAAATGATAGCCCATCTGAATATCTCCCAACCATTCTAATTTCTAAGAAGAGGCTCACAAGAAACACTGATGTCACTTTTATTAATTTCTTTAAAATAACTATTACATGTAAAGGCCTAGTTATTCATGTCCATAAGTACAGAAAGCTTTCAATTTTATCTTTACATGGGTGTTCGTAGGTAAATAAATACATATGTACATAGACATTTGATATTCTACTTTGTAGTTCTGAGATTATTCATGGAAGATGAAATACGAGCTTCTATTGCAACCTGTAATAAAATACATTATTAGTTTCAGATGATGTACAACTTCAGTGCTAATCCAAGATGGGCTTGGTGAATTGTTCTATGCATTTATTCTCAGCATATAAAATATAAACAGATAATAGCAGGTTAGTAGGAAAGGCAAAAGTATATATGGACCAATAGGGTGTTTTAGCTGCTAAAATTCTCAAAACTACTTTTTAAATATATTATTTCAAATATCTTCAAATGCATAGTCTCTTACCAATCTCAGGCTTTAAATGACCAGTTAGAAATGTTCAATCTGCAAATAATACTGTCAGAGGAAAACAGAAATTCTCTTTCTCTGGATGCTACCTATGCTGTTGTGTTTAAATTTTGACACATGCACAAAGTACCACATTTGATATTTATACTAATGGCACCTGGAACAAATGGCCTCCATTAAAAGACTGCTGCACTAGTTTTTCTTGATTTAGTATCTGGATTTATAAATAACTTTCTTGTGATGGTGTCTGTAGCTGTTTTGTCTTTGGGAATTCACTGCCAGACTGAAATATGCTTATCCTGAAGCCTTTGGCAGAATTCCAGATCATTTCAGCACAAACATCAGAGCTTCTTTAAGCAGAAGATGACACAGGAAAAAAAGCACTGCTTTCAGAATTTATCTTTGACGTAGTGGCAACTGATACAAGAACAAGAGACTGTGTGGAACTGAGAGCTCTTTGTTTATCTGATGAATCAAGAAGTGGAAAGTAAATGAAAAGCTGCTGCTGCCAGGTTTCTTTCCCCCTGTCCAGAATATTGCACGATTGGTGAAATGGTAACATATAAACCCTAGATACTTATTAAAATGTAACATTTGAAAGAATTTTATTTATATTTTCTTATTAATTTCCTGCTTAGCTGGAGACTGCCCATCCTAAATGTTTTTCTCTGTCACCCACTAAAACTTCTGCTACTGCTCACCATTACTATTGCTAACATTGCCATTATTTACTCACTTTAGCCAAATGATAAGGACAAGTTTAAAGGGTTTTTTTCCCTTTAAATTTGCTGTATTGAAAGGTGACAGATGGTATACATTTCTCTGAATGGTTTTAGCTTTGGAAAAAAACGAGTTTTGGAAGAGTAGGCACTCTGTCTCTGAATCAGCCAAATTTCAGGCTTCCATGAACTCATGCACCATGGTTGTTCCAGGTTTTTTCAGCGGGCTGCTGTAGAATGACAAACTGAAAATCTTGGAAACACAAGCTGTTTCATGTGAAAATTGGAGGCCAGCATGAGGATAGGAGGATATCCTAGTAGTCTATCTTGAAGAAAAAGAAATCATGAGTTTGGAAATCAGGCCGCAAGCTGCCAGCTCATGGTTAGCATGTCAGCTGAATGAGTAAAGTGTTGGGGGTGGAAACTGCTTGGAAACCAGGTACCTGTTTGCAGACAGGACTTTTAATTTGCCATTCAGGAAGGGTTATTTTAAAGCTTGAGTTCAGCTTTGAGCATGGAAATTTTTTTGCTAAGACAGAGAATTTAAGTAAAAAAAAATTGGCATTAGTATGATTGTTGAATATTTTGGGGTTCATTGTTTCAGACCCTGAAGGTGGATCTGAAATGAAGTTGAGCTTTCATGTGTTATATAATAAACAATTTAAAAACATGATCCTAGCTTTAGGTACCACAATCACTGGAAAATATTGCTAATTCATAAAATTCCCATATAATAATACCATATTGTGAAATTAAACTCTTATGTTTGTAGCACAGATGGTATTTTAAAGGTGAGCATCCTAAAAATGTATGTAGGAAGGGGCTAATTTTTATCCTCAGACTCAGGTTTGAATAGAATGCTACAAATGAAGCCTGAAGCTCTATAATGAACCCTTCAAAAAGGTCACAAAACCGAAATCTTGAATAACTCTTCCTTGAAGAAAAAATATTCATTCTCTTTAGAGAGTAAGATCACGTAACTGTGAAAAAATGTGATTTGTGTACCTAAAGAATATATTATTATGCATTAACACCAGCAGGCTGAACTGAGAAGGCAGAGGTTGAATTTCTTGACTTTGACATAAGCCAAATAAGCTTTAATAAATTTAAGCAAATGTTGTGCAGTGGATGTATGTGGGAAGAAAGATAATCTACTGGTAACCAGCTTGAGCAGGTTATGCTTTTCGATGCTGTCTAAAGCAATGTTCCACTAAATATTTTCACCAGTCTTACTGAAAAAGAAGCCTTTCTGCTCAGCAAACACATAGCAACATCAGATCTACCTGCTGAATATAAAGCTGCATTAATGCAACACAAAACAAACAAGTGTTTTCCTAAGAAATTTCACTTTTCCAAGAGCACAATACAACATTAACTGAGTGTAAAAATTGTGACCCTGACAGATTATAAGAAAAAATGCTTACGGGATTGCCTAGATACCAAAATGAATATAAGAGCCTCAATAAGAACTACATGATGTCATTGTATCAGCAGCAACTTGTATTTGCATTTGCAGAGCATATACAAATTACTCTGTGGGTTGTTAATCCCTAGATTTAGTGCTAAGTATGTCCTGAATGATAATTAGAAAGCTTCCAGAAATTTCTAGCAACTTAAATATGAACAGGATATTAATGGAAAAAGATTAAAGTTACATAGATTGGGTAGTTCTGAATGCCTGCCCTAGAATTAGAATGGAGGGATGAACACTTTGCCAGCAGGTCAGAAATCACTTCTGGCAGTTTTAGGAGAACTGAGGGTGTTGTGGTCTACAGAGCTCTTTCCTCAAGTGTTAGGGCTGTGAAGTACTCTTCTGAAATATTTAGTCTGGGGAAAATAACCTACTGTAAAAAAGGGAAATATCTTATGTATGAAAAAAACCCCAGTATTTTAAAGCATTAGGGGGATTCCAGCTAGAATTTTTGGTACTCAGAAAAACTGACTGAATTTTAGAAAAGATCTCATATTGCTGGCAACGTCAGTGTGGCAACATTTTCTTTTTTCACAAGTTATTTCTATACCTTTTAATACTGGTTGCCAAGTCACTATTCTAGTCACCTTTTTGAAAGCTTTTCCTGGATAAATAATGCTTTGGCTTCTTACAAGAAATGCTTTCCACAAGCCCTCATGTTTTCATCCTGTAGTTGCATTTTGAAACACATACCATCACATTTCCATTATTGCTTCATCAAGTTGGACCAATTTTAGGTGAGGGTTTTAATCTTTATGGCAACTGGAGTTGCTTTATCTTTTAGGTAAGACTTAACAGTACATGCAACAGTCATTGAAGTCACATAAAAGGATTTTTTTTCAGTGGCCATTGTCTCAGACCTCTGATGTTTACTTGCTAAATATATCTTTAAGGAAAGAAGATAGTGTAATTGGTTGAACACTGTTAATTTTTAGAAGATCAAACTTAGTTTCTAATGACCAGATTAATGTCATTCTTATTTACTGTCTTTTCACCACTTGTAAGATATTGCCAGTCATTTCCAATTGTTTCATAACTAGCTTTAATTAAATGGATGCTTTCCTATAAATTTGGATCATGTTTTGTAGGCATTAAATAGTATTTAAATATCATGAAAGTATCATATCGTACAAATATCATAAAATTGTTATGTACATATTTTTTACACATCTAATGGCACAAAAAAATTATTTACATTTTTAAGCACTGGTTTCTGATAATTCTAATACTTCTACCAATTTTCCTCTAGGATAGCTTACAGATTTTTTTGGCATTATGAAATTTTTCTGATTATTCTAGCCTTTGCTCAGGATGTTAATTTGAGAGCTTGTGCTCCTAGCTGAAAACAAGACTATGATAGATGCTCATCAGTGAATGCCTGCAGCATCAGAAACTTTAAATGTGATATCTCATAAGTGAGTACAGCATCAGAGAGATGAACTTCTTCCTT